CTGTCATCTTCAAGTCGCTCAAACATGGCTTAACTGTGTGAGGAACCAACAATTTAGCTAAGGCACATGGCTTCCTGGTGGTCAGAGGCGACTAGCGGCATCTATATTCCGCACGCCCAGGCACAACACCAAGACAGGTATCTGCTGGCGTTGCCGAGCTACACGATCTTCAATGTTGGACTTCAGCCAAGAAGCTGGATGGAGGCAGCCGCCAAACATGCTTTAGTCATTGGGACTTTTGCTCAAAAGAGTTTTTGAAAAGTGGCCAGACCATGAGCCCACTCTTTTCAGCTCCTGGCGCGCAGAACAAAATATTCAAGTGGACTGGCTGTACGCAGCTGGACCAAGGAGGTGTTGACTTTGCTGGCTCACAAAGAGACTGGAAGATCATGGGGGGCGAAAGTCGCAAGCTTGTTTGGGAAAATCACGGAGAACTACCGGGAAGAACCTGGAGTCACAGGTAGGCTGCCATGTCTGACACCAACCATGCTGCAGAAGAAAAAATCTAGCAGCCAAAGCTCAGGGCAAAAGCTGGTGGGGCCAGAGACTTAGTCGAGTTCGCTCACACACAGTCCGCGAAAATGCTAGCCGCAGGATCGTTGCTGGAGCAGACTGCTGCGCAGGCAGCTGCATACTTGCATGGGTGCTACGACCTGCTGCATTTGGATAATTTTCAGCCTCCACTCATGCGAGATGCAGGCAGCAAGGTTTTTGCTGCTTTACAAGAGTTTGCCAGACCTCACCCCTGACAACCAGTGGAGGATCAAACCAAAATTCCAGATCATGGCTGAGCTCCTTTGTGAGGAACACACGCTAGCTTGGGCTGAGAGGTCCTGATGAGGACCCAAGGCGAAGCGCACAGACATTGCCAGCAAAACCTAGCTCCTGTCAAGGAGGCTCTTGGAGTTGGTTTTTGTTTGGCTTTCATTTTGTAACAGTCTCTAAATAAGTAAAAAATCGTTATTAAAGAAACAAGCCTCAAAATTTAAAGGGTTTTTCCTTCTATAAAGGGTTTTGGTCCTTAAATAAAGAACAATTCCATCAAAAAAGGCATCAATCCTTAAATTAAGTATTGTTTTAAAGGCTTTTTCCTTAGACAACGGCTCTTTTCATTTTTAAGCACTTTTGGAGTCTCTGGGAGGGTTTAGGGCTTAGGGTTTTCAAAGCTTCGATGGATCGTTTCTTCGATTCCAGCTTCTTGACCTCGACCACACGAATCTGCGCACAGGGTTGGCTTTCTTAGAGTGCTGTCAGCCCTACCCCGCCGCCCTAAGAAGAGAAGAAAGGAGTTTAAAACTCGTCATGAGTGAGAACTCTCATGAGCATTGCTCCTCGCCAGTGACTCTCACGAGCATTGCTCCTCGCAAGTGGCTCTCATGAGCATTGCTCCTCGCTAGTGACTCTCCCGAGCATTGCTCGACTCTGCGCAATGACTCTCATGATGATGATGATGACTCTGTGCAATGACTCTGATGCTGATGACTAGTTGCGATGATTCTGATGATGCTGACTCTGTGCATGGTGCCTCAGTTCCTCGGTTCTTCGTTCCTCAATTCCTCGATTGTTCAGCTTTTGGGTTTCTCGATTCCTCGGTTTTTTCACTCTTCGGTTCTTCGGATCTTTGATTCCTCGGTTCCTCGATTGTTCAGCTTTTTGATTTCTCGGTTCCTCGGTTTTTGACCCTCCATTCTTCGGTTCTTCCATTCCTCGGTTCCTCGATTGTTCAGCTTTTTGATTTCTCGGTTCCTCGATTTTTGACTCCTCCATTCTTCGGTTCTCGGTTCTTCGATTCCTCGGCTATTCGACTCCTCGGTTCTTTGGTTTTCCGTTTCTCGATTCTTCGATTCCTCGACTCCTGGATATTCTGCGATTCTTCGGTTCTTCAAATCCTCGATTCTTCGGTTTGTCCGTTCTTGGTTCCTTCTTGGATTCTTCGATGCCTCGCTTCTTCGATTCCTAGTCCTCTATTCTTTGGTTTCTTCGTTTCTTTGCTTCCTCGGTTTCTGGGTTTTCCCATTCTTCGGTTCTTCGACTCCTAGGCTCCCTGATGTTTTCGGCTCTTCGGCTCCTTGATTCTTTGATTCTTCGGCTGCTCGGCTTTTTCTTGGGTTCTGCGAGTCTGCGGTTCCTCGATTCTTCGGTTCTTTGGTTCCTTGATTCTTCGGTTTATCGGTTTTTTCGGTTCTTCGGTTCCTTGGTTCCTCGGTTCTTCGGTTCCCTGATTGCCCAAGATTTAGAACTGTCACTTCTTTGGTTTTTCGACTCTTCGATTCTTGTTCGGCATCGCGTGGCGAACTTGGCAAAGCTGGTCTAACCTGAGTTATAATTTGGCTGAGCTATAACCTGAGCCTGCCAGCTAGCCAAGAGAGACTTAGCGAGGTCATCACTCAGGTTAGACTTAGTTTTCACTCAGGTCGGTGGACTTAGCAACGGGCAACGTCCAACTAATCGAGGAATCGAGGAACCGAGGAATCGAAGAATCGAGGAATCGATAATTCGATGAATCGAAGAGTCACCAAGATCGAGGACTCGAAGACTCCATCTTGAAAGGTCGGCTGGGTTGCTAATTACTTGCCCCGCTTATCGATTAATCGATTCTTCGATTCGTCGGTTCTTCGATTCTTCGGTTCTCCGTGACGGACCTGCTGGCCGACTCGCTGGCCCTCACGGGCTCGGCCACTCTGGACGGGCTCACCGCGCAGGGCAACGTGGGCTGCGACCAGCTGCTGCGCAACGACGTGAACTGCACTGACGTGTTCACGACGGGCGTGGACGCCTCGGGACTAGTGGATATTCTGCGCTTCTTCGGTTCTTCGTTTCTGCAACGCCTCGCTTCTTCGATTCTTCGACCCTGCGATTTCCTGATCCCTTACACGCGCTGAACCGCAGAGACACCTTTAAAGAAAGAAAGAAAGAAAGAAAGAAAGAAAGAAAGAAAGAAAGAAAGCAAGAAAGAAAGCAAGAAAGAAAGAAAGCAAGCAAGCAAGAAAGAAAGAAAGAAAGGATGAGTGATGCTTGACACTTGACACTTGAACACAGTTATCCACTCAAGTGTGTTTGTGTGTGTGAGCGTCTGTGTGTGGGTGCGTATGTGTGTGTGTGTGCGTGCCTGCGAGCGTGTGGGCGTGTGTGCGTGTGTGTGTGTGTGTGTGTGTGTGTGTGTGTGTGTGTGTGTGTGTGTGTGTGTGTGTGTGTGTGTGTGTGTGTGTGTGTGTGTTGTGTGTGTGTGTGTGTGTGTGTGTGTGTGTGTGTGTGTGTGTGTGTGTGTGTGTGTGTGTGTGTGTGTGTGTGTGTGTGTGTGTGTGTGTGTGTGTGTGTGTGTGTGTGTGTGTGTGTGTGTGTGTGTGTGTGTGTGTGTGTGTGTGTGTGTGTGTGTGTGTGTGTGTGTGTGTGTGTGTGTGTGTGTGTGTGTGTGTGTGTGTGTGTGTGTGTGTGTGTGTGTGTGTGTGTGTGTGTGTGTGTGTGTGTGTGTGTGTGTGTGTGTGTGTGTGTGTGTGTGTGTGTGTGTGTGTGTGTGTGTGTGTGTGTGTGTGTGTGTGTGTGTGTGTGTGTGTGTGTGTGTGTGTGTGTGTGTGTGTGTGTGTGTGTGTGTGTGTGTGTGTGTGTGTGTGTGTGTGTGTGTGTGTGTGTGTGTGTGTGTGTGTGTGTGTGTGTGTGTGTGTGTGTGTGTGTGTGTGTGTGTGTGTGTGTGTGTGTGTGTGTGTGTGTGTGTGTGTGTGTGTGTGTGTGTGTGTGTGTGTGTGTGTGTGTGTGTGTGTGTGTGTGTGTGTGTGTGTGTGTGTGTGTGTGTGTGTGTGTGTGTGTGTGTGTGTGTGTGTGTCTGCGCTTGTGTCTGTGTGCGTGTGTGTCTGTGTCTCTGTGTCTCTGTGACTCTGTGACTCTGTGACGTCTGTGTGTGTGTCTCTGTGTGTGTGTCTGCGTGTGTGTGTGTGTGTGTGTCTGTGTGTGTCTGTGTGTCTGTGCGTCTGTGTGTGGGTCTGTGCGTGTGTCTGTGTGTGTATGTCTCTGTGTGTGCGTCTCGGCGCGGGTCTGTGCGCGTGTGTCGGTGTGTGTGTGTGTCTGTCTGTGTGGGAGTCTGTCTCTGTGTGTGTGTTCGCGTGTCTGTGTCTATGCGTGTGTGAATGTGTTTGTGTGTGTGTCCGTGCGTGCGTCAGCGCGCGACTATGCGCGTCTGCGCGCGTTCTGCGTCTTTGCGTCTTTGCGGCGGTGTGGCTTTGTGGCCTTGCGTCTTTGCGTCTTTGCGGTGTGTGTTTGCGCGCTTTTGTTTTTGCATGTGCTGCTGCGCTTGTTTGTGTGCTTGTCTGTGCGTTTGCTTGGCCTTGTCCTTGTGTTTCTGTGCGCGCGTTTGTGTTTGCACGTGCCATACTCCTGACGTAGAATGCCACAACAAACAGGGAACGGGCGCGAATGAAGCCCGAAACAAAGCGCCGGCATTAGACGAGAACCTGGTGAGTTTGGACTCTTCCAGTGAACCAACCCAAACTAGCAGCGCAAGGGTGCCCAAGCACGACGCAAGGTCGTCGATGAAAGAGCACATTGGCTCGATTGTCATCCTCTCTTGTGAATGTCTGGCGGAGAAGACGACCAAGGTGTCTTTTGGTTGCCTGTGTGGAAGGTTTGACTGTCATAGTGGGGATCCGGATCCCTGATTGGGAAGATATTTCTTGAGTTGTGCTGGCACCCGTATCTTTGACCGAACAAGATTGCGCGCGCCATGCAAAACAGGGTGAGCCACAAGGAGGGCGCGTGGGTTCGTCTCCAATTGAGGGAAGTACGCGTGTGTGTTTTCTCTTTGCTTTCCCTTCAAACAACAGCTCGAGACAAACAAACCCCTGCCTCAAAATCATGATCGGGGAACTGGGCACGTCTCCAACGCTGCAGCAACCCTCCTAGAAACAACAACGGCAAGATTCGCATGGGGAGCCTCCGAGTTGCCTGATAAACAGTCTTTAGGAACCGGACCTAACCCAATACTTCACAAGCGGCCGACACACTCCGTCCTGATCGTGATTCGCCTGGTGCCCGTCCTCAAGAACGCCATGTGCAGTTGGACACCCGATCATTGGCGTGGATTTAACTTTAGTTGCCCAGTTTTCTCGCCGTCACGGCGTGCTCCTTTTGCAAGTGGAGTTGCGTGACTACCACTCCAGATCGGGTGACACAACACGACCCGCTCTTGAGGATATTGGCCTTTGAATGTAATGCCACCCAAGAACCAACAAGATGTTGCGCTTTACTTCATCTTTGTGTCGGGCTTGTAAAACTCGCCCCTTTCTCGGGGGATTTGGCCTCTGAGTCTAGCGTCCCACCCAAAGGGCCATCAATATTTTGCACTTTGCTACACGCTGCTCGTTCTCGGTGGTTGCGGCCTTTGAACCTAGTGTCTCATCCAAGAGCCATCAAGATTCTGCGCTTTACTTTGCCTCTGGTAGCGGGGTACCTCATCGGGTTTTTAAACGCGGCGCGTTCTCGGGGAGTTTGACCTCTGAGTCTAGTGTCTCATTAAAGAGCCGTCAACAGTTGGCGCTTTACTTCATCTTGATAGCAGGGCGCCTCATCGTTTTTGTCGTCGGCTCGTTCTGGGGGCTTTTGTCCTCTGAGTCCAAGGTCTCATCCAAGAGGAGATTTTAAAACTCGTCCCATTCTCGGGGCATCCAAGAGCCATCAAGATTTTGCACTTTGCTGCGCCTGGCTGTGGGTGCCTAATCGGGTTCTGTAAACTCCGCTTGTTCGGATTTTTGCCTCTGAGTCCAACGTTTCCCTTTGACAGTGGGGGAGGTTTGCCCGGACTTTCAACAGGGCGGAGCGTCTTACAAAATCTTGCAAAACCAGCAGTGTTGAAACTTTGCTCGTAGCAGAGCAACCAACCCGCGGAGAGCGTGTCCGCACTGCTTTGAGCTGGCTGCGCACCAGCCCTTCTTCGAGCAAGTGAATATGCTGCGCCTGCCAGCGCCGCGTGTTTGAATCCAAGACTTGGATACGCCAGGTTGGACATGCGCAGCTTTCCTGCGCCGAAGCCATGATTTACTTCTAGTTGCAAAGGGTTTGCGCGACTCCCAACCCACGTCCAAGAGCGAACGTCACTCGGTCCGGGCAAACCCCAACCCAACATGTTGCACTTCGCTTTGGTCCGGTAGCGGGGATTCGGTCTCGTAAAGTTACAACCAGTAGGCGCAGCTAGCTAACTGGTTTAACTGTTGTAGCTGTCCACATAACTGGAAAAACTGCGTGGACTGGTAGAACTGCTGACGAACCCCAATAGTAAGGCGTCACCCAAGAGCCATCAGACTTTTTCCCTTCGCGTCACCTTTGCCTCGCCGGGTTTTTAAAACTTGGCTGGTTCTCGGGGGTGTTGGCCTCTGAGTCTGACGTGTCATCCAAGAGCCATCAACATTTGGTGCACTTTGCTTCACCTCTGGTACTGGGGTACCTCAGCATAAAATGCGTCATCCAAGAGCCATCAAGCATTTGGCACTTTGCTTCACCGTGGGTGGTTTCTTCGGGTTATTAAATCGGCTCGCTCTCGGAGATGTTGGCGTCAACATTTTGCACTTCGCCGCATCTTTGGCACAGCAAGACTTTCGCAAATTTTACCTCGACTAGTTTTTCAAACTTGCTGGTTCTTGGCAATTTTGGACTCTGAGTCTAAGGTGTCATCCAAGAGCCACTCAACTATTGCACTTTGCATCAGCTTTGGTTTTGGGGGGGTTTGGCCTCTGATTCTAATCTAACAATCCAAGAGCCATCAAGGTTTTGGAGCTCGCCTCGCCTTTCATAGTGGGGTACCTCATCGGGTTTAAAATCTCGCCTGGTTCTCGTCTGAGTCGAAGGTGTCACCCAAGAGCCATCAACACGTCGCACTTTGCTTCACCTTTGGTTGAGCGGCTCGTTCTCGGGGATTGGCCTCTGAGTCTGGGGTGTCATCCAAGAGTCATCAAAATGTTCAAACTCGGCTGGTTCTCCGGGTTTGGCCTCTGAGTCTAAGGTGTCATCCGAGAGCCATCAAGAGTCTTGCGCTTTGCTTCACCTTTGGTAGTCGGGTACCTCAATTGTTTTTTTTGGGTCTCGGCTGGTTCTCGGAAATTTTGGCCTCTAAGGTGACATCCAAGAGCCATCAACATTTTGCACATTGCTTCATGTTTGGCGGGGGTACCTCATCCGTTTTTCAATCATGTTGCAGTTTGACTCACCTTTGGTAATAGGGTACCTCATCCGGGTTTTTAAACTCGGCTGGCTGGTTCTCGGGGATGTTGAGTCTAAGGTGTCATCCAAGAGCCATCAACAGGTTGCAGTATGCTTCACTCTTGGTAGCGGGGCCTCATCGGGTTTTGCAAAGCCAGCTCGTTCTCGGGGATGTTGGCCTCTAAGGTGTCATCCAAAAGATATCAACATGTTGCACTTTGCTTCACCTTTGGCTGCGGGGTACCGCATCGGGTTTTCAACCGCGGCTTGTTCTTCGGGATTCACCGGTTTTTGCGCTTTGCTTCACCTTACGGCTTTTCAATCGCGGGATTTTGCACTTTGCTTCACAAGTCGGCCTTCTCCCGGGGGACGAAGGTGGTGGGGTCGAACATCTCCGGCTTGGCCAGAAACTCTGGCGGCGGCTTGGCAGCCCCTGGCAAGAGCTGTTGGGAAACCAGACAAACCTCACTTTTGCTCCCGCCTGGAAGCTCCTCAGGCCTGCTGGCCTTGGGCGCCTTCAGCAGGCGCCCTTCATAGCTGGCTGCCGCCATAGCTGGGCCCTTGCCGGCCACTTCCTATGGGACAAAAGGAGAAGTACAACGGAGGTAGCGTTCCCTTGTAAGGGAGGTAGCGAGGGAACAGAGCATCAACAAATGCGTTGGCTTTCTTTTGACAAGGGCTCGAAGCCATGTGTGAATCTCTTGTATAAACCACCAGTTCATGGACGCCGCAGGCAAATGGGTTCATGTGGTTCATGCGTGGGCTCATGCTTGTGGACAAAGGGCTGCCCCCTTCTTTGATGCCAAGTTGGGGAGGTCTTCAAATAGGGAACTCTAGGTTACTCCAGCAGACATCAAAAATTGTGTCAACCTAAAACCAACCGAGCAAACCAAATAGCCATTCCCAGAACATCAGTAACATGGCCCCACCGTCCAACGGAAACTGTCGGCGTTTTCACAAGACAGAGAATTTTGCTACCCTTGCCTTCTCAACAGGCCATGTTTACGACAGCCCTAGGCAAAATACACACCATCCCTCAGGCCTGCTCTACAAAAAATGTAGGCCTCCACGAAATGGTCCCAAAATGTTGCTGCCAAGTCTCGGGACCACCGCTGGCCTCTGCGGCAGCCTCCGCCTCCTCCTCCTCCTCCGCCGTGTTAAAGGAAAGCGCCGCCTCTTGCTCCTCCTTACCCTGTCCAAGGAGAAAGGTGGCCACCAAGAGACAATTTTAGAACAAGGCAGGCAAGCGAATCATGTAACTCAAGGTAATGACAGCATAGGCCTGCATTACCAGCAGAATGCAGCGAGAAACCAAGTTCCGCAACAGCAAACGCCGTCAAAATCATTCAGTTTCTCTTTCTTTCTCTCTTTGCTTGCCTTTTTTTCCTCTCCCGCCCTCCCTCCCTCCCTCCCTCTCTCTCTCTCTCTCTCTCTCTCTCTCTCTCTCTCTCTCTCTCTCTCTCTCTCCCTCTCTCTCTCTCTCTCTCTCTCTCTCTCTCTCTCTCGCTCTCTCACCTTGGCTCGGGCGCGCTTGATCCATCCGAAGACATCAATGTACCTCGCACGCAGCACACTGGAAGTGATTGCGATTTCTGTTTCGGCACTGGTTGCTTCTCGGCGTTGGTACTTTCAAGACATTGTGTTTGCGCCACAACAATCACCGCGACAAACAAACGGTATGCAGCTGCGACACATGACGGATCGAAAACCTGTAGGAAGCATTGCTCCTCCCTCTTGCTCTCCTACCTGGCCGCGCAGGGGAGACTTCGCCCTTTGCCTTCGCAGTATTTGTGCCACACAGAGGCTCAGTCAGAACTCTCAAGTTCTCGGTTCCTGCCTTGCTGATGTACAGCAACAGCATTAGCCAGGCAGCCTGACCATTGTGCAGAACAAAGTAGCTTGTGCAAATTTCCTGCGTGTTGTCACAGTGCAGTCTGTAGCGCTTTCCAGAGACCTTTTTCCCCAAGACCGCGTGGGTGGCAAAATCCTATTCATGAGGGCGGGCAGAGCAGAGAACACAGCCTCCTGGCTGTGTCAGCTTCCTGCCGGCCCTCGCAGGATTGGGGGTATTTTCATACCCCCTCGTTCCGCGTGAGTCCGTGTTGAAAGTAAACCGGTCTCATGGTAATCCGCATTAATTTGAAATCATCTGGGACACCTTTCAGAGCATCCTCTCAGGCCAGCACCCCGCCGTAGTTTGCGGGCATGTTGTGAAAGAATCGAACCGGGCGCGTTTTCTCATGGGTACAGCGGTCGTGCCAACCGGACGAGGGAGGGGCTAATTCTTGGTCGCATTGGTCTTGTCCTGCAACTGGACATCCTGCATGTGGAGGCCCAAAGGGCCCGGCAGAATGATCCAGGATGGAGTAAAGCCATCCACCTCAGAGATTCTCCGACGCATGTCGAAGCCAGTAAAGTTCAAGTGGCCCAGCAAGGGAAAATCCTCCACAAACACCATGACCCACAAGAACTCGCTGATTTGATACGCCGGTGTGCCTTGGCAGGCTTCAACCCATCCTTGAGGATCTGAAAAAGCTGCTGGTCCTTGGCGGCGCGCGTCACAGACCGAGGTGTTTTAGAATCCTTCTGATGGCGGTCGTCGGTGCGATAGGACTCTTCTGTTCATAGTTGTGACCATTTGGTCTTGCGCTTCCTGGCGGCATGTCGGAATTTCCCTGCTTGCGCTTGTTCTTTGTAATTGCCCTCATACTCCGAGAAGAGGGACTTGCCGTAGCGAGGGAACAATGTCACATGAGTCATAGATTCGACCTTGACACTTGGTCGCTCCTGGTCTCGATCTTGCCCATGATCCTGCTGATGACGTACCGCTCCTGAGAACAACTTGCTGACTCGTTCGGTTCTCCAGAGGATCAATGATTGGATGCCTTGGGCGCATTACTCGGGGATGCCGAAGCAATTGCACATGCGGCTGAACATCGGGCATGTTGGCCTGATGATTGTGACATACAACGAGACGGAGATATCAACACCGTAGTCGGCTGGCTGCTCACCGATGTAAGCACATGCTGCACAAGCGCTGGGCGAATGTCTCTTTTGAGCTGCTCTGCGCCTTTTCTTTGTTCCGTTCTTCCCTGATCGTCGGCAACCAATCACGACTGAAGCGTTGCTGCAGATAGTAGGGCTTCTTGTGTTGAGCCCTCGCATGCTCACAAACGTTCTTGAAGTTCCTGGACACACGTTTCGGACATAGAATTCGGCTAGATGCTCGTTTTAAATTTATATCAGAAATGGCCATTTCGTATATAGATTTTCAGATTTGACTTAATTTTGCCTTGGATGAGTTTGAGTGTCAGCCTTATCGGGTCACGGGCTCGCAGTTCGTTTTCCCAACGTGTAAGTAGCTGCATTTCGGCTCAACGTGGGGTCGGGCATTTTGCGCTCATACATCGGCGCTTGTAGGGCGCCGGGCGCGTTTGTGCGCATATGGCTGTAGCCCTAACGTTGCACGGCTTGACTGTTGTTTTCTTTGCGGCAATAGGTGAGGTGGAAGCCATGGAGAGGGGCGCCGGCAGGCGTGGGCGTGCGTGCGCGCGCATTATAAGTTCAGTTTTGAAAACGCGCGCGCTCTGCGCTTGCACATGCGCGCGCCACGGCATGTTCATGACACGACACGCATGGCACGTTCGAGCATGCATGTCACGTCACGCCCAAGCATGTCATGCATGTTCACGTCATGATCGCGTTCACGTCGTATTCACGCCACGTACACGCACACGCGCGGCCGGAGCCTCAGTTTCCCTTTTCTGCCCCAGGATTGAGAGATGAATTTCGCAGGCGCTGCCGGTGCTCTTGCTCGAGGTCTTCTACGCGTTTGCAGCTTAGAGCGCATGACGCGCGCTCTTGCATGCCATGTTGTTTGCATGGCCGGCCAGCTGTGCGTCGACGTGGCGCCTGCCATATTTGGCAAGGCTGGCGGCTTAAGCGCGCGTGCTCACTGCCGTGCTTCAAATATTTCTTTTCGCCGCACCGCAGGTGCGATGGATGAGGATCTCACGGAGGCGCATCCTACTTATTTTGCATGGTTTTGAGCCTTGCCCGCGAGCTTTTTCTTGTCCGCAGGACGAAGACTACTGGAAGGACCACCATGGACCTCCCGTGAAGGCCCGGGCCCGGCGAGGAAGAATATCCATGCTTGTCTACGCTACGCCTTTGCAGGGCGCTGGCGCCAAGAAGAAGCCAGCGCCTCAAGTGAAGGCGATGCCTCCGGCTGCGTTTCCTGCTGCGTTTCCTGCGGTGCAGGATGCTATAGGCGCCGAATGCCAGCGCCTGAGTCCAAATCGACTGCCCACGCCACGATTGTCTTTTTGGTTGGAGGGTCATGGTGGAAGCTGCCGCCATAGACGAGCTGGAGCTCACGTGCCAGTGCCTGCGGGAGGACCTGAAGGCTACCTCGAGCCAGCTCGAGGAAACGCAGCAGGAGGCGAAGGCCATGTCAATTTGCGTGCACTCCCGTGTACCCAAATTCTACGTGCTCTACGTCTTTGAAGCAGCCACCACGCGCGCCTGACACGCGTGGTGGATCACGCATGGCACGCATGTCATGCATGCATGAAGCGCCACGTCACGCATGACACGTCACGTCATGCATGCATGACACGTCACGTCACGCACGCATGACACGTCACGTCACGTCACGTCAGGCATGCATGACACGTCACGCACACGTCACGCATGTCATGTCACGCCACACATGACACGTCACGTCACGAATTATCGTTGGAATTTCCATATTGTTCATTTGCTTGTTGCAGGGCCATTTTCAGATCTACCTCTTCCAGGCGCGGCCCCTTCGTTTTGCTTTGTCCCCCCCCTGCGCGGGCGATCAGTTATTTTGGGGCAGCTCGACGCAGCGTTGCTCCAGCACAGTCAGACCATTGGCTACGCATGCTTGCGGAGGCAAGCGCCAGGCCAACCGTACTCAACAAAATGTGGCACAAACAAGCGTGGCGCAGCTGTGCAAAGATAGAGGCGGAGAGAGGGATAGAGATTGGGGTTGAGACAGCGAGAGGGAGAGAGAGTGAGCGAGAGAGGTGTAACGATGATAGAGAAAGATTGAGGCACAAAGGCGCATAGAAAGACAAACCAGCTGTCAATCTGCCTTGAGGCAGCTGGCTGGCAACCAACGCAGGGGCCCAAGGAGTGCTTTGCGCACGAGTGCTCGCTGGGTGCCCCCGCACGCCGTGCAGCTGCCTGAGGATGATGCCCTGCTTCTCCAAGTGCCAGGCCGTTGCCCGGAGCCATGGGGCAAGGACAGGTGCGCAAGAGTCTGCGTGCGAACTAGCCGAAAAAATATGTAATTTACTTTATGTAGCAGTGCCATGCGCGTTTTGTTGTTTGTTGAAACAACTGGACTTTCAACAAATCGCAATTGAATGAGTACACATGAAAATGGTGACACTGACTCCTGTCTGTCGCTATCATCAGTAAAATCCAAGCAAGCCTGGCTGTTCTGAAAATAGCACTTCCGTCAGCGCTGATGTCTAGGCCCCCCTGCCAAAAGTGGTCCAAGATGTAGGCTAACCTGTGAGATCGCCTTTCTGCACCAACGACACAATGAACAGCTGAGAAAAACGCGCAGGGTAGCAGAGCCACGTGTTGAGCTACACACAGCAGTGACCATCGTCACTTTCATCTGTCGGCCTATGTGTTGCTTCGACATGTTGCTTTGACTGTCAAAGCGAGAACTTTCCCAAACAAAACTTGGCCGACAACTTTCCCTTAATTGTTCTGCTTTCAAGGTCTGAGCCAGCGGCAGCGCAGCAGAAAGAAGCGCCGTCAGATTCCCGGCACGCAGCTGGTGGTCAATATTGCAAACGACTTGGTCAATGCAGCCAGCCACGCCCCCATGCAAAATATGTGGACTGGTGACAGTGGGCAGCACAAGTGCCGGGGTTCACGGTTTTAGTGTTGTGTTTTTTCCCCCTCCCTCCTTCGATGCTTGCTGAAAGCCTTCGACGCTGTAAGCCTTCAGCTTCTTCAATTTGAAGAAGCTGAAGGCTTTTGCAAAGCAAGACACATCATACAACTTCACTCTTACAAATGACAATTTTCAACCCCCGAATCAGAAAACAACAGCAGCGCCAACCCTCCCGAGACCACACATGCCCACACCTTTTGCAATTCTCTATAAAAACATAAACTTCCAACCCCAAATCAAACCTAGACACCGATTATCCCGAAAGCGAATATGAGAAAGGTAATGCAACAATGTTATGGTATATCTATGAAATTATTCATGTTAACTCTTTCTCTCTCTCTCTTTACCTTTATCTTTCTCTTTCTCTTTCTCTCTCGCTCTCTTTTTCTCTCTTTCTTTCTCTTTCTCTTGCTCTCTCTCTCTCTCTTTCTCTCTTTCTCTCTTTCTCTCGCTCTCTCTCTCTCTCTATCCTTCTCTCGCTCTCTCTCTCTCTCTTTCTCTCTCTCTTTCTCTCTCTCGCGCTCTCTCTGTCTCTCTCCCTCTCTCTCTCTCTGTCTCTTTCTCTTTCTCTTTCTCTTTCTCTTTTTCTTTCTCTTTATCTTTCTTTATCTTTCTCTTTCTCCCTCTCTCTCTCTCATTCTTTCTCTTTCTCTTGTTCTCTCCATCTCTCGCTCTCTCTCTCTCTCTCTTTCTCTTTCTCTTTCTCTTTTTCTTTCGGTTTGTCTCTTTCTCTTTCTCGTTCACTTTCTCTTTCTCTCTATCTTTCTCTCTCTCTCGCTCTCTCTCTGTCTCTCTCCCTCTCTCTCTCTCTGTCTCTTTCTCTTTCTCTTTCTCTTTCTTTTTCTCTTTCTCTTTCTCTTTCTCTTGCTCTCTCTCTCTCTTTCTCTTTCTCTTTCTCTTTCTCTTTCTCTTTCTCTTTCTCTTTCTCTTTCTCT